GTTCTCAAAAAATTTTTAATAGTGAACAGTTTTATACTGTGACTGTTAAGACTTTCGATTAAAAAGTGGGCCAATAAAAATCTGAAAAATTTTATGGAAAAATCCCTGACTGTATTTTTTATTTATATTTTATTATTTATTAATTTATTTAAATTTCATCACACATTTTATTTAACTTATACAGTATAATTTATTTATTAAATTTCATCGCACATTTCATTTTAGTACAATATTACGGATCTTACTAATCTATCTTCTACGCGCAACTACACACACCCATACATCACTTTATCATACCCAGTACACCTACAGGGCTCACTTCGCTCCTGCTGTCGCCTCCGCTTCGACGACTTCAACAATGAAGAAGCACTAGAACGAACGACTACAAAAAAAAGTACCGGAATACTCGACGCCAACATTAGAAGCACCGAATTGAGCGACTCCAACGACGCGAAAAAAACGCTAAACCAACGACGCAAAAAAAGGCACCAGCCAGTAAAAGAAGCACCGAACTAGATAACACCAACGGCAAATCTATTACTCGAAAAAAGAATATAAACGTTAAAAATAAAATAAGAAACAAAAAAAAAGTGTGCCGTGGATAGAGCCCCAGCCTCGCTCTATCTGATCCTAACCAACCATTTTATGTTAGGTCTCTTTTTTTTTTTTTTTACCGTTTACCGCAGATAGAGCCCCAACCACGCCCTATCCAATCCTAACCATTTTATATTAGGTCTCATTTCCAAAAATTTTTTTTTAACCGTTTACCGCAGATAGAGCCCCAGCCCCGCTCTATCCGATCCTAACCAACCATCTTATGTTAGGTCTCGGTTTTTTTTTTTAACCGTTTACCGCAGATAGAGCCCCAGCCCCGCTCTATCCAATCCTAACCAACCATTTATGTTAGGTCTTGTTTTTTTTTGCTCCTATTTTTTTAACCGTTTACCGTCCGTTTACCGTCCGTTTATCGTCCGTTTATCGTAGGTAGAGCCCCAGCCCCGCTCTACCCAATCCTAACCAACCATCTCATGTTAGGTCTTACTTCGCTCCTCATATTAAAAGGGTGGTATGGACTGGTACTTTTGGGGACAGCCCCTTGTTGTGTGCCCTTCCTTCCAACAACGAATGCAGTGTTGCTTGTATTCGGGGGGAATCTTGTCACAATCTCGTAAAAAATGGGACCCCAAACAATGATAATATTGGGGGGGCTAGAGTAATAGTCCACGTGGGGTGTTGAGGGAAGTTCAGGAGAAGCAGAGGGATCCAATAGTTGTGGTCCGAGAAGCGGAGGAGGAACAGGGGGAGAACCAGGAGGGGGAGAACCAGGAGGAGGAGAACCAGGAGGAGGAGCAGGGGAACCTAAGAAGTTATTTAAAAATTAAAAAAAAAAGATAAATTAAAAAAAAGAAATGATAAATTAAAAAAAAATAATAAATTAAAAATAAAAAACGATAAATTAAAAAAAAAAATAAAATTAAAAATAAAAAACGATAAATTAAAAAAAAATAATAAATAGAAATGTCATCCTGGAGATAAAGTACCTTCGGCCATCGTTGGGTGTGGGTGGGTCTTTTCTTGGTGGGGGGAGGAGGAACGCGCAATATCACTAATAACATTTATCGTATTTACGTATGCAATACATTGCATACGAAAAGAGTTCACTAGAGCTTTATATGGATCAGACATTTTTTTTTTTAAGTAAAAAATCTCACCTTACAGCCTTATATATATATATATATATAGAAATGATTTCTTTGTTTACCGTGGGAAATCATGGATTTGAGAAGTTACGCGTATCAGGTATGGACCTACGATTATTTTAGTAAACAAACACGATTGTTTATCCATAATTAGATTGGACCCGGGTGGCGTTTTTTTTTGACGGGTCCAATCCAGTGTTCGAAATTAGTGTTCTCAGAGTTCTCATGAGAACACTATCTATTTGTGCACAGTATAAAACTGTTCACTATTAAAAATTTTTTGAGAAT